GGGGGGACACAAACAAACTGCTTAGGAGAAGCTAACACATAATAAGTGATCAATAAGCTTTCCAAACACAGCTCAGCACACAGGCCCCGGAGGTTGCAGTTTACATTCATTGAAGGCCAAGTCACACGGTCATGGTGCCGTTGGGCTGGCGCATCTATGACACGGCCCTCACAATCTTCAAAAAGCGTTTCCCTAAGACAGTGATTAAGAATGGCATAAACAGCAACGCGTACAATAGTCCGCATAACTTTTTCACGCTCACGACGTGGCACTGGCTCAGTGAGTTCTAGCCCAAGATGCCTCCTAAACTCCTCATAGCCATCATCCTCGGGGTTCATCTTTGCTTCTTGATGCAATGCTGACCAGGGCCTCCGGTCCTCTAGAAAGGCATCGTCGAGCTGTCGAGAGATTTTTGGACAAGAAACAAGTGTAAGTTCCCACTGCTTGTTTTTAGATTTACACAACCCCAGGTTCCTAACCCCATTACACCTATAATCGACTGTCACTTCTTAATCATTCATTTACCTGAGCGACATCTTTTCCATTCACCTTGTCCACCGGTGATTCCCCAAAGCCATGATCACTTTCCTCCTTCAGGGTGATGGACGACGAGAGGCCACTATGCTCATCGGGGTGTCTCATGAGCGGTTGGGCTTCGGGTTCGGCTTCTGGCATATCCATCAATGGCTGGGCCAAAGGAATCCCCTCGGCTGCTCCCTCATCCTCTTCGGAATTGTCGCTGCTGTAGCGCTTTCTCCACACAAGTCCAAAGGTCCTCAGAGCTAAAACAAAGTCCGAAGTTCTCACGGGGGTGGTAAAGGACTCCCATGTTTCCTCTCAGCCTTGCCATAATTTCTAAAACACGTCTTCTTGGTAAGAGATGGCCTCCTCTGCCCAGCGCCGGGACTTATGGGGTGATGGTGCTGCATTCTGATTGGCAGAGGGCATTGGAACGAGTTCTTAGAGGGGGCACACGACCCTCTTCTGGGTGGTTCACCCCATCCCAGAACCTGCCCTATTTTGGCCAAATCTCCTTTCGGGGCAATCCTCTGCAGCTGAAACCCATCGCGATTGGTAGAGAATGTTGGGAGGAGTTCTTAGAGGGGTCACATGAACCACTTCCGGACTGGTGACCCCACCCCAGAATTCCCCCCAATTGGTCAAATCTCCTCTCGGGGTAGTCCCCAGCGGCTGAAACCCATCCTGATTGGTAGAGGGTGGTGGTAGGAGTTCTTAGAGGGGTCACACAAACCTAGGAACTCCCCCTGATTGGTCAAATCTTCTCTCAGGGCATTCCTATCAAGGGCAAAACCCATCCTGATTGGTAGAGGACAGTGAGAGGAGTTCTTAGAGGGGTCACATAACACACCTTGCTTCCGGTCCTGTGTCCGCCTTGACCCCAGAAGTAATACCCCCCCATGGGGTGGGACTTCCAGTGACCGGAGGGCAGGGCTTATTGGGTCAAGGTGTGGGGTTAATGTTTGATTGACAGTAGGGCCCTTATACTACTCACTCAAAATTGGAAGAAGAGAGAGGCAACTATAATACTGGGCAGGATGAGGCCCTGTAAAGTAGCCTAGGTTGATTTTTATTACTCAAAGCGTTTTTATTACACATCAGGACATCTAGTCATTCTGATGGACTTGTAGCCTCTGGACAAGCTCAGTGATAAGCATGTTTATTATACTGTTTGCTCAGGGGTCATTACTGTAGTAACAGCCAAGTACCGGCCCAGATCCTGAAATACACCTGAGCTCTAGACTCCGCATCATAGTCAAGCAGTCTGTGGCGTGGAA